GCTTATCTGTCATTCCTCTGGGGTGGGGGCTTTGAAGCAAGCTTCCTGGGAACAACTCCAGAGGGGCTGGCAGGTATCTGGGCCAGGCCAGAGAAGCAGGCAGGGAGGGAAGGGCTTAGCTGAGGAAATTGGGCCATGCAAGAAGGAAGTCGTTTCTTCAGCCCTCCTCCAATCCGGAGTCCAAATCCAGAGCTAGGCTGGAAGTTCACAGGAAGGGAGAAGAGTTCAAGAGAAGTGAGTCAAAACGGGGATATGACTGATGGTGTTCTTCAAAAGTAAACTGCATAGGCCAGGCATGGTGGCTCACGCTTGTAATCCCAGCACTTTGGGACGCCAAGGCAGGCGGGAGGAGGCCAAGGATCACCTGAGGTCTGGAGTTCAAGACCAGCCTGGCCAACATGGTGTTACCCTGTCTCTACTAAAAATACAAAAATTACCCATGCATGGTGGCACGTGCCTGTAATCTCAGCTACTCAGGAGGCTGAGGCAGGAGAATTGCTTGAACCTGGGAGGCGGAGGTTGCAGTGAGCAGTGAGCCGAGATGGCACCACTGTACTCCAGCCTGAGCAACAGAGCAAGACTCCGTCTCAAGAAAGAAAAAAAAAAAAAGTAAACTACAAGATTCCAATGAACTGGAAAGAGTCAAAAAATGTTAAAAAAAAAAAAAAAAAAAAAGAAAAGTAAACTGCATGAGTCCAACAAATGTGTAAACAAAGTCCCTCATTGCTAAAATGAATCAGTGAAAACAAGACACCATTTTTCTTTTGTCTATGAAATTGACGAAGTATATGGACTGCAAATTTTAGCAAGTTTTCTGTAGGGTAATTTAGTAACAAGTATCAAATGTATTTTAAAATGGCCATATCTGTTGACCTAGCAATTTCACTTTTAAAAATGTCTCCTATGAACATAATCAGAGGAGTGCCCAAAGAAACACAGCAAAATGTTTGGTAAGAAAAAATTGGGACTTACCTATATAATGAAATAGCATGCAGTTATTGAAGTCTTGTATGTTGCCATAGGAAGATGTTTACAATATATCACCATGTCAAAGGTTTTGAAACTTTATATATAGTATTGTACCAAAAAAAAACCACTCTCTATAAAATATGCAAATCTATGCATAGAGGAACAATGGGAGGTTCCTACATCAAAAGCTAACAATAGCCTTTATCTCCAGGGGAGTAGAAATACAGGTGATTTTTTTGGAAGGGGGAGTATGTTTTCTGCATTCTACATTGAGCATTTGTTATTTTTGTCATGAGATGACATATTATATAAAAATTGAACAGATTGATCACATCTAGGATTATGCCTAACCAGAAACGAAAGCTCCTGTGTCATCTAGATTCTGGAATTACATTCCTAAATCTGTTTTTCTTTCTGAAGTCTTTTCTCCCTCAGCAGAGGCATTTATGTGGACCCAGGAGTGGGGCACATGGCCTTTTCTCCATGCCCATCACCTCAAAATGCCCCTGTGTTTCTTAGTCTCTTTTCAACATATGTGAGCAGATAATGTATCTGGCCCTGAAATTTAAAAACAAAACCAAAGCAATCTAGTGTCAGACACCACCCTCTGAGCCTGCCCCACTCCCAGTAATTGCTGAGCTGGGTGTCTGTCCCAGCTGGGGATTGGACGATGGGTGTCTGTGATGATGGCTCTGCCTCCCCCACAGCATCTGTGTAAGAGGCACTCCGTTTATTTGCAGATTCCCATTCTGCTGTGGATGCTCTTTCAAGCCCTCAACTGAACTCTAGTGAACGAAGCTGGGGGGAGTCCCCCGAGTGATGTGTGAGGATACCGACTCCCCTTCCCATCCAAGGAGCCAAGACCCTGAAAACTTGTGGTGGGCCTCAAATACCCACCAGGTCTTGGAGTCCTCACGAGCCTCTTTCTCTCCCTCAGGCACAGCCAACATCAGCCTGATTCGGTGGATATGGAGGTGTCAGGCAATGAGTCTTGTTGCATATCTACCCCACTCCCCAAAAGTGGCAAAGTGCAAACTGTTATTCATTCAAACTGCCACTTGATTATGTTGAAGACCAGTTACTGAACCCAGAGAGAACAGTCTTCACAGTGGGTAGGAGCTTCCTGTCAAGGAGAGTTAATTTTAATTTTTCCACTGAGCTCAACCTCAAAGTGAGGTTGATTGCTATTCAGCAAGATGGACCACATTAGTGGCGGCTTTAATTGGGCGCAGAGCTACATCCCCAAAGCATAATGTTTGTTGTATACATACTTTGGGGCAAGACGAAAAATGAAAAGCAGACCTTTCTGAGGAAAAACGGAAAGCACAATGTGTCCCACAGTCAGAATGGCCACACCAAGAGCCAAGTGGAGGGGGGCTCAGTGGGACTCCCCACCTCCCCATGCCACAGTTCCGATGAGCTGTCTGCAAATGTTTCCAAATGCTCAGTTCCCTTCCCAAACACTGGACACCATCGTGGTTCTTATGCCAGATAAAAAGCTCCAGGAAACCAGTGAAAGACGAGCGCGCCCTTGGCCGAGGGGCCATGGCATGTATTTCTGGTGTGAGGCTTCCTCCTGGCCCAGGGTGTTGGTCCCTGCTAGCATCTAACATGGTCACTTCTGTCCACATGCTTTTACCAGTGGCCTTGAGATGAGCCCTCAGCTGGAGTGCAATGCCACTTTTACCCTCTTACTGGTACGGCTCCAGACCCTTGTCACGTCTTCCCTGAGCTGAAGTACTGGTCTTCACGCAATTGAGGGAGATGTCTTCTTAAACCCAGGTTCTATCACTTCTCTTTAAACACTCTCTAAAGCTCTCCTTGACTCCCAAACACAGATCCCAACATCCAGCATCCCCACACATCAGCCCAATTGATTTTTCTTTTTCTTTCTTTCTTTTTTTTTTTTTTTAGACACAGTCTCTCTCTTCTGCCCAGACTGAGTGCAGTGGTGCAATCACAGCTCACTACAGCCTCAACCTCCCTGAGCTCAGGTGATCCTCCCACTTCAGCCTCCCCAGTAGCTGGGACTACAGGCACATGCCAGCATGCCCAGCTCTTTTTTTCTTTATATTTTGTAGAGATGGGGTTTCATGATGTTGCCCAAGCTGGTCTTGAACTCCTGGTCTCAGGCCACCCTCCCGCTTTGGCCTCCCCAAAGTGCTGGGATTACAGGTGTGAGCCACCTTGTCTGGCCAGATTGATCTTTAAAAAAGTAAAAAATGCTTACTTCTTTCTTAAAATCCTCTAGCAGACTTCCGCCACACTTGCAATAACACTCAAACTCCTTCCTATGGCGGGCAGGGCACACCACGATCCAGTCCCTCTACCTTTCCAAACTTCTGTACCACTATTCCCCTTGCCACTTCAGCCACTGGCTTCCTTTCTGTTCTCAGCACTTGTTCCCTCTGCCTGGATGAAACGCTTTCTCTCCAACTCATCCTCAACCTTCTCACCCTCAGTCTTGGCTTAAACACCACTTCCCCACAGTGGCCTTTCCCGACCACCTTGCCTGAAGCAGGACCACGGTCATTCTGTATCATGTCATGAAGTTTTAGGTCCTTCGGACAGCTCTCACTGCTCCCTAAAATTATCTTTACTTGTTGTTTATTCCTACTCCCATTAGTATCTGACCTTCCTAAGGGACCTTCACTAACCTGTTCACTTTTGTTTTTTGAGACACAGTTTCACTCTGTCGCCCAGGCTGGAGTGCAGTGGCGTGGTCTCGGCTCACCACAACCTCCACCTCCTGGGTTCAAGCAATTCTTGTGCCTCAGCCTCCCAAGTAGCTAGGACTGCAGGCATGCGCCACCACGCCCGGCTATTTTTTTTTTTTTTTTTCGTATTATTAGTAGAGACAGGGTTTTGCCATGTTGGCCAGGCTGGTCTCCAACTCCTGACCTCACGTGATTTGCCTGCCTCGGCCTCCCAAAGTGCTGGGATTACAGGCGTGAGCCATTATGCTCAGCCTCTGTTCACTTCTTTACCATCAGCACCCAGCACAGTGCAAATAGATTGCAAATCATTATTTGGGGATGGATAATTGATTACAGGAAATAGACAATGCTTCCTGAAAGGCCTTCGTTGTCTCCAGGCTCCATACCTTAGATGGTGCTGTTTCCTTGGCTTGGCCCGTGCTTGCCTCCTTCTTCCCCTCCATCACCAAATGTTGACACTTGTAGTGACACAGGTCCCTCCCTGCCCCACCCCACAGGCAGGAAGAACCCATGTTTCCTCTGTCAGCCCATCTCCACCCCGGCCCCACCATGCTGCCTTCTGGTCGAGTCATACTCCAGAGCCATCTACTTCAAGAGGACTAAATTTACTGTTCCTGGAAATTCTTGCCTAGAAAGATAAAGCTGTAGCCCATTAAATAACTTCACTGCTGGCTTCAAGAACTTCCCTGCAATCAATTCAAACAATAGATGGCTCGAAATGCCCTCCTTCTCAGAACAATGCTCTGCCCAGCTGGGCAACAGCTCCCAGCTCCCCAAAGCAACACCTTCCCGTTCACATCGTGCCAACGTGAATTTGTGAACTTTGCTCAATCCCAATCCAATCCTCTCATGGAAGGCCTTGCTTTAAACCATTCAGTTGAGCCTCCATCTCCAAACCCTAAAAACATACGGCAGGTTCAGAGGAGAGGCTGGGTGAAGGCAGCCCTGATGAACAGGTTATTTTGGAGGGCTTTCAGGCAATTTGGCAGGTCCAGATCTGCGACCACCATAGAGTCCAGCACCAGGCTCCACTGTGCATAGTGAATGATGAAAGAACGAATGGACGAACGAATAGCTCAGCTCGCCTACCCCAGCCTACACCCTGTCCTTTCTTGAGACAACTGAGCCAGAATAACAAAACAGTGCAGGTGGCGTAGGGGACTGGGTAAGAGCAGAGCTTTGGGACTTCATTTGCAATAACTAGTCCTTATTCTGGGAACTGGAATCCACGGCAGAAAGCATGGGCGGCCCCTGAGTTTCCCGGACCCGGGGCAGGGCGCCGCGCGCCCACAGATTTCTCTCCCCTGCGCCCAGGGCGACGGCGCTGGACCGCTACCGGCTGCAGAAGGCGGGGTTCACGCACGTGCTGAACGCGGCCCACGGCCGCTGGAACGTGGACACCGGGCCCGACTACTACCGTGACATGGACATCCAGTACCACGGCGTGGAGGCCGACGACCTGCCCACCTTCGACCTCAGTGTCTTCTTCCATCCGGCGGCCGCCTTCATCGACAGAGCGCTGCGCGACGATCACAGTAAGAGACCCGCGGCCCCGCCCCGCCCCGCCCCGCCCCGCCCCGCCCCGCCCCGCCCCGCCCCGCCCGGATCTGCCCCGCCCCGCCCGGATCTGCCCCGCCCCGCCCGGATCTGCCCCGCCCCGCCCGGATCTGCCCCGCCCCGCCCGGATCTGCCCCGCTTGTAGTCTAGGCCCCGCCCCTTTCCTCGCCCCGCCAAGGCTCCACCCCTAGCCTAGGCTCCGCCCTTAGCCCTAGGTCTCCCCGCCCGAGGCCCAGGACGGAAGCGGGTTGTACGCGTGCGAAATCGTTGTCTGTCGCAAAGCTAGGCCACTGGGGCTGCTTGTGGCCTACGGTAAAGGTCTGAGCCCCTGGAAGCTGTGAAAGTTTAAGGACCTGCACCACCGAGCGTGCTGCTGGCGGGGTTCGGACCTTGATTGCAGCTCTGGGGAATGGAAATAGGGCCTTAAAAAAAAGGCCTTTTGGTCGGAGTCTTTGCTAAAGGACATTTGCCGTCCTTCAAAAGGCGGAGGCGGTCTGGGAGCCCTCAAAGCTGGGACTACGGCTGGAGACAGTAATTGTGCCTGGGCCTGAACCCAACCAGTAGCCAAGGGCTTTGATGCCGGAAAACCCTCAGGGAGCTGACTTGAGTGGGAATCCATGGAGAGACCTTAAATTCTCCTGCCCACCATCCAATTTCACAGCCCGCCTTCTAGCCGCCATGTCCCCATTTACACTTAACCTAGTGAGGCCTCCAGTAGAAAGCTGACAAGCTGAGCTTTACTGGCACACTGCATTTGAGGTATAATTTGGGTTTTGCACTTCCAGCTTCGAAGTTTTCCCAGCGTTAATTATCCATCTTTTAAATCACAGTGCTAGTCTTTGTGCTCAGAATGCACTGCTGGCTACCCTAATCCAGCAAAGACTACAAGGCTATCTTGGAGAGAAGGGCACAGCTTAGGGACGCATCGGGGGTAAGACAATATACAGTTATTGCTGCAGGGTGTACTTTAGTGGCATTCCACAGAGGCCAGAGGGACTTCAGCTCCCTAATCTGTGCTCTGACTTCAGGCCAATGTGTCACACACCCCTTTGTGGAGCCATCACATAATTCAGGGTATCCGGTTACTGAAAGCCTTTCTTGCCACAAGAGGTCAAGTCTCAGCGACTGACCAAACTGTCTGCTGCAGGAACTTGCAACCTGGGGCTGGGCCTAGGCCAGGTCTGCTGGACAGTATCAGACTTTAATGGACATCCCAAGGTGGCCCTGGCCCCACAGCCAACCATAGCCACCAACAGTTTGTCATTATTTTGGCTCAGAAAGCAATGTCACAATGAAAAAAACCCTTAGAGCTAACATGCTTGTATTAGAAGATGCCTCATTTCCAGGCCTTCCTTTTATGAGCCTATTTATGAACCATCTTTTGTGCTGTGTACATTCTGGGTTTCCAAGTAGGATCAGAAAAGCAACTGAACTGAGTCATCACCACAAGGTAAAATTTGTCTCATAGTTATTTGAAGTTAACTGAAAACATATTTGACATGAAAAAAACAAAGGCTGCAACAACCTAATCCTTCCGTTTCTGTTTAATGCACTCACTTGCCATTACTATGTTTTAGACCTTACCCTTCATGGAAAGGGCCTGGCAGGCTTCGGAGAACACAGGGCCGGGTTTACATTTCTGACACACAATTTACTAACGATGTGATTTCTCTGAGCCTTGGTTTCTCCATCCGGTGATAAAAATATTTACCTTCAGAGGTTATAATGAGGATCAGCAGTAATGCACATAAAGTGCTTAGCATAGAACCTGGCGGACAGCAGGCTCTCGGATGTATTTGATAAAGCATGGTCATATACCGTGAAGCATATAACCACGCCAGCATGTGCACATCATCATCGTAAAGTTTCCAATCCTCAAAGAAAATAAAAAAAGACATTCCAACTTTGAACTGTAAGATATACTCACATGAAAGCTTGTTTTAGGTTCCTGGCACTCAATTTTAGGGTCTGCCCCCACTGCCAAATCCAGAAAGAATCAGGGTCTCAAGTTGAAGCTTAGGCCTAGGCAGATGACAGAAAATTGTGAGGAGGTGTCAGGCTGCTGTGGATCATGACTATTAGACCAGGTGGCACCTAGCAAATGAAGGGCCAAGGGAGGAGAGTAGATACTAGGATCAGAGACTTTGAGGGGGGTAGAATGAATGGATAGGGGTGCCGGGACTCGACCGGGTGGCTAGAGATGGGGAGCAGGACATGACCCCACTGGAGATGGCAGGGTAGGCTCTGCTGTCAGCGCCTTTGCACTGACATGTCTAAAGAATTCAAGTCAGGGCTCAAATGCTTACCCTGCAGAACCACGCAGAGTGTAAACAAATGAAGCTGGCTGCTTGTACAGCACGGAGGTGTGGGTAGGGGGCACTTGTGGCTAAGCAGAGAGCCCTGTACCCCCTTCACAGGGGCACCTACCACTCAGCCTCAGCTAATGCTTGTCTTATGAGAGTCAGTGCAAATGTGGGAGATCTGACTTTTCAGAAGTCTCCAATCTGGATTTTACTATAAAATCGCTTGATTTTTAGGTCTTGGCAACAGATTGAAATTTCTTAAAATGCTGCAAAGGACAAACTAAAGCAACCCAGTGGCCATCAGGTTGTAACCTGTGCCGTGAGTGGTCACAGCAACCAAACAAAATGGCCGCTAGCTTAGGAGCAGCAATACCATAGACTTCATACCCACTGGATGGCAGGTGCTCAGCCCACCTGCCACATGCAATGGATGGCCCAGTTGTGTCTAGGCAAGGGACACTGCTTAGCATTTTAGTGCCAGACCCAAGGGAAAACCAAGGGACACTGCTTGGCATTTTAGTGCCGGAACCAAGGGAAAACCAAGGGACACTGGTTGGCATTTTAGTGCCAGACCCACTTGTATGTTTCTTACACTCTATGTAGGAGGTGTGGATAGATAGTCTGGCCAAAAAGGAAGGCATCACTCTTTGCTTCCTCTTGTCTATGTTCTTCGTTCTCATTGACTGGTTTCAGCCAAGTGTACACCATTCCCCCCACCTGGCTTCTCACAGCCAGTCTCTTTTACTCTTTTTGAAAAGCATTCCTTGTGGAGCTGTACTGTGGCTGTAATCAGCCCCTGGGGCCCTCTCCCACCCCATCCCTACCCTGACTTGACCCTTTAGAAAGAACTCCCCAGGCAACCTCAGTCACTCTTAAAATACCTCGGAGATAATCTAGTCCCCGGTCCTGCCCCGACAGCTGGGCAAACAGAGGCCCAGAGAAGCCAAGTGAGGTGCCCAGGGTCACAGAGCTAATCAGAGGCAGCGCCATCAGGACACCTGCCTACCAGCGGGGATTCCTTCTGTCACCGAGGCCTCACAGAAGAGTCCTCTGCCCTTATTTTGAGCACCTGGTGACTTTGCTGTATAAGAGGTCACCAAATATCACGGAGGGCGAGGCATGCCAGCTGGTTATAGGATCTGAAAAAACTGAACTTGTCACTCTTCATCAGAAAAATAAGTCCTCACAAAATACTGTCACAGGAACCCCACTTGGGTTGCCTTAACTGCCCCTGATGCGGCATCCTCTGAGGTGAATTAGTGTGGTTTTAGTTTAATGAAGTCTTCTAAGAAACTCCAGGGCAAATGCCACGAGGCGCTTTAGTATAATGCTCTCCTTTTGTCTGCTCTTTCTTGTTCTTAAACAGTCCGTAGTCTGCTTTTGAAGGCATCTTAAAATTTATGAGGCCGGGCGCAGTGGCTCAAGCCTGTAATCCCAGCACTTTGGGAGGCCGAGATGGGTGGATCACGAGGTCAGGAGATTGAGACCATCCTGGCTAACCCGGTGAAACCCCGTCTCTACTAAAAATTACAAAAAACTAGCCGGGCGTGGTGGCGGGCGCCTGTAGTCCCAGCTACTCGGGAGGCTGAGGCAGGAGAATGGCGTGAACCCGGGAGGCAGAGCTTGCAGTAAGCTGAGATCCGGCCACTGTACTCCAGCCTGGGGGACAGAGCGAAACTCCATCTCAAAAAAAAAAAAAAAAAAAAAATCTATTATGGATAAGGGAGGTATGAATAAATAAATGAAGCCTGCTTTCAAGCAGGAGGTTGATTCTCTGGTGCTTCTAATAAGCTTTAACCAGACCAGATTTTCACTGTTTTGTTTTTGTATTTGTTTTTTGAGATGGAGTCTCGCTCTGTCACCCAGGCTGGAGTGCAGTGGCGTGATCTCCACTCACTGCAACCTCCACCTCCTGGGTTCATATGATTCTCCTGTCTCAGCCTCCTGAGTAGCTGGGAGGTGCTCACCACCACACCTGGTGAATTTTTGTATTTTTTAGTAGAGATGGGGTTTCACCATGTTGGCCAGGCTGGTCTCCAATTCCTGACCTCAAGTGATCCACCCGCCTTGGCGTCCCAAAGTGCTGGGATTGGAGGCGTGAGCCACCACGCCCGGCCGATTTTCACTGTTTAAGGGTCTCCTGCTCTATCTCCCTCCAGCCCCAGCAGTTCATAATACACCTTGCACCTTTTTTTCTCAGAACTTCCACACACCTAGAACCTCTTGGGAAGAAGTAAGGGCTCTACCAGAATTTCTTTGCAAGTTGATAAGAAAGGCAGTTTCCCAGATAGTGCATGGGAGGTGGGCAGAGAGCATCTCCTGAAAGCAAGGAAGGAGTCTGCTTAGCAAGGAGCACACCTGGCTGGGGGCGGGCCATGGTGCAGGGTGACAGCCTTAGCCCATGTCTGATTTTCGTGACAGAGGCCTACCTTCCAGTCACTTCTAAAAGCACGCAGTTGAGGAGCAGTAGAGATTCTGGATTTGGGTTTTCTTTTCTGGAGATGGGGTCTTGCTCTGTCGCCCAGGCTGGAGTGTAGTGGCGCAGTCTCGGCTCACTGCAACCTCTAACTCCTGGGTTCAAGCAATTCTCCTGCCTCAGCCTCCCGAGTAGCTGGGACTACAGGTGCTCCACCATGACTGGCTAATTTTTGTGTAGAGACGGGGTTTTGCCATGTTGGCCAGGCTTTAACCACATGGGCTCCAGGTGCTCTGATTGTGAGAACATAAGGACCTGCAAGCATAGGTATGCATTAGCTGCTGCTATTCCTAAAGATGAACTCTGGTCAGGCACACCTCAAGGGCTCTGACTGTAGTCATGAAGAAAAGGATCTCCAAGCATGAGAGGGGTGCTGATCTCTCCCACTGTGTGCTCTGGCCAGGGGGACCCTTGGAGCTCTGACAGAAGTTGGGAAATAAAAGCCCAACGCAGGTATAGTGCTGGCCCCTGTGACTGTGAGAGATGTGCTCTGGCATGATGGGTCTCAGCTAATCTGACCACAAGAAGGAACAAAAGTGTTGCCTGGACCTTGATTCTTCTCAATGGGGCTGACTCCTCCAATGGTAACAGATGTGCGTTCACCCAGCTTAAACTCCCAACCTCAGGTGATCCACCCACCTCGGCCTCCCAAAGTGCTGGGATTACAGGTGTGAGCCACTGCGCGTGGCCTCGTGCCCTAGTCTTGGAAACAAAATTCAGCTCTTGGAGCTCCTACCCGAGCTGAGTTTCCTCTGTCCCTCCTCTTCCCCTTTCTCTCCCGCTCTTTCCACTTCCCCCTTTCCTCCCACCCCCTCCACTTCCCCCTTTCCTCCCCACTCCCTCTCCCTTCCAACTCTTTCTCCCCTTCCCCCTGCCACTTAACAGACTTGAGGCCCCCAAAAGGCTTAATGAACTACAGCTTTCATCTGTTTCAAGTACTGAGTCATGACAGAAAGAATTACTGTTTTCTGGGAGAGGAAGAAACGCTTTGGTTATCAGCAGGGCTGGCCAGGGGCCCGGCAGCCTCCGGAAAGATCTGTGGGATTTGAATGCCAGGGGTAGACATTCATCCAGCTGGACACGTTCACACCCCAGGAGCACGGTCATGCCCGGGAGAACCTGGGACCAGCCTCCCTGAGATCCGAAACAGCAATCAAGAAGTGGGTGCTTGCTTTCTGGCCACGGTGCTCAGGGGAAAGGCAGCCCAGCCACACTGTAGGAGCTCAGCAGCCATTCATTAGCACAAATTGTGCTAAAATCGAGTTATTTACAGGGTTATTTGCCTTCTCAACAATCCTATGAAGAAGACACTGTTCTACAGAGGCAGCTGTGGGGCACAATGCTGAGTCACTTGCTGTGGGCGAGAGGGTGACAGTCAGGATGGGAGTGGGCCCTACCTGTGCCTCCAACGCCTGCCCCTCAGTGTGGGTTTTCTCCTCCCTGCTTCTTCTGCAGGTAAGATCCTGGTTCACTGTGTCATGGGCCGCAGCCGGTCAGCCACCCTGGTCCTGGCCTACCTGATGATCCACAAGGACATGACCCTGGTGGACGCCATCCAGCAAGTAGCCAAGAACCGCTGCGTCCTCCCCAACCGGGGCTTTCTGAAGCAGCTCCGGGAGCTGGACAAGCAGCTGGTGCAGCAGAGGCGACAGGCCCAGAGCCAGGACAGTGAGGGGGATGGCAGGGAACTGTAGGGCCCGACTCACCTGGCCAGCAGAGGCACTGGGGCCAGAGGGGAGAGGCACAACATAGCCCTGGCCTAGGACTCCAGATAAGGGACAGTTAAACCAAAGCTCGACTTCTTCCAAACCATCTTGTTCAACTTCCCCATGTGTGCTGGGGACAGGGAGGACCCAGAGTTGCCCCCGGGCAGAGCCGAGCACTCAATCTCTCAGTGAAATGGGAGGGACGGGCTCCCGGCTCTGGGTCACAGAGGAGCATGCGACGCTGCACAGTCTCCCTGCCTTGCTTTTGTTTTTTTTTGGTGAGAAGGAAAGGATTTTAAAATGTGTAGGCATTATGTTGTGATTAAACGTTTGGCTTTGTCTGAAAGGAAATTCACGTTCTTATAAAAAGTATTTTAAAATAGAAATTGCTTTTCCAACTACGGAACAGTACTGGGTGAGCGGTGTCACAGGAGCGCCCGCGTAGCCGTGGAGGCTGCTTCCCGGCATCCTGCGTTTCTGTGGCATCCCCTGCACCCCGTTTGTCTTTTCAGCAGAACCCCCAGGCTCACGCCACCATCTCTAGATGTGCTCCTCCAGCTGGGTGGGGAGGGGTCCTGAACCCCCGTACAGAGGCCCCGGCTTCAGGCTTCCCCCACTTTCCTGAGGGACCCAGGGCTCCTCAGACTCTTAGCCAGGGCTGCCACTACTGAGAAAAATTCAATGAATTGTGGTGAATTTGGACAAGTAGGAGTTTGACTTTCTAATTTTGGGGGAAAAAAGGGAGGAGACCCTCTCTAGCGGGACCTCAGGGAGGCTCTTTTCACGTGGGTTCTAGTCAAAGCAACACGAGCTGGTTTTCAGGCACAGCAGAAAGTATTTGCAAATTGTTGTCTGCTGTGGAATGGGAGGATGGGGCAGCCAGGTAAGCTCAGGTGTGGCGTTTGCCTCCCCGAGAGCTAAGCCAGCACCATGGCTGCGTGATTTCCACTCTGAAGGAGAAAACGGCAGCAGGTACGAAGCGGGTAGTGACAGCTTCCAGGGTCAGGAATCCCAAACCTGACAGAACCCAAAGAGAGTTGCTGCTGTTGGAGATGCTGGCCGTCAAGGACCAGACACGGAAACGGCCTGGAGAAACCAGAATGTGATAAAGGCCTTCTAGGAAAAAACGAAAAGGGGCCTGGTTCTTCAGTTTGGTTGTGGTTTCCAGCAGAATGAAAGAGGAAGTTATTGATGGGTGGAGGAGAGAATCCCGGGCCTCAGCAGATGTGTAAGCCACCTGAGAGTCACCCTGTGACCTTTGGGGATATGCCCTGCTTTGTGCCCCTGTGGCTGGGCCTGGCTTCCTGGGACTGCCTCGAGTCTGCTCTGAGAGTCGCCTTGGCTCAGGAGGAGCCAAGGCCCTCATGTTCACATGCACATGGGGCTTGGGGGGGCATCCCCGGGGACTCCCTCATGGTAAGAGCACTGGTCTTCTAATACATTTTGAAACCTGAAACACTGCAAAGGGGTTGCAAAGCAAAAAGGCAAAGATGATACATAAACAGAAATGTGCAGTGAATTGATGTGTCCTGGTGCTAAGATAAAAAAGGGGTACATGTTCCCTCTGAAAGTGCGAGAGTCCTAAACTGGACAAAGATGGAGTGTATCAGTCACAACTCATGTGGCTGTGAGGGAGAGAGCAATACTGGGTGTGGGACGACTACAGATGATGGAATTGCTTAATGACTCATACTTGGGTGTGAGGGGACCATATTCCGGCTCTTGGGAAAGAGATGCAGGCCAAAAGGGACCTAGGGTCATAGTGGCCCCAACCTGGGCTTCCCCATCAGGATCCTGCTACTCCCGTCTGAACTCTCTTATTGCTTAGCTCTGATCTGTTCCATGTCCAGAGAGAAGTCAGTATTTCCATTTTAATGAATATTTACATTTAGATGAATTCACGTTGGGGAGGATAGAGCATAGCTAAGTGCATTGCTGGTGTTTCCTGAGCGCCCCACACTTTCCTCATGCTCTCATCTCTTTGTGGGACTCTGGGTCCTGCCGAAGGCAGCAGAAGCTGAGAATGGCAAAATTGCAGTTATGGTCTCTTCTAGATGACTCCTGGGAGCCAGAGGCAGGAGAAAGGAGGAACAGAAGTTTTTGCAAAAGTGTTTCAAGTCTTCAGAAGTAAGGTAGGAAATATTTGTTTGGTTACCAAGTGCCTATTGAGAACCTACCACATGCCAAAACCTGGGTTAGGGGCCAACAGGAAAAATGAAAATGCACGTTGTGATAAAGCACAATGCAGGAAATAGGCATGGAGGTGGAGAAAAGTGGGGAAGGGGAGAAACCCTCTTTAGGCGGGGTGGTCAAGGAAGACCTCTCTTAGACATGAAGACACAAACCTTCTGAATGTGCTGGAGCATTCGAGGCTGAGGAGCTGCGCATCACTGAGGCCAGAGCTGGCGGCTGAGAGCGGGAGTGGAAGGAGGGGCGGAGAGACCTGATTGTATTCCAGGTGCACAGAAGATTCACTGAAGGGTTTTAAGCAAGTGTTTCAAGATCACTCTGGAAAGATCCTTTGGCTGAAGTATGGAGAACAGGTTGTAGGGAGTTAAGAAGTGAGGCAAGACCAGTTAGGAGGCTGTTGACAGGAGAGGAGGAGGTGGACTGGCCTGACAGCGCCAGGGGATTAGTATTCCAAGATTATTTTGGAATTAACCCAGAAAATGGACAGGACCTGCCGAGACGGGGAGGGGAAATGAGGGTTAACTGATCTGGTCTCTCGGCAGTGCTTTAACACTGAGATGGGGTGGACCAGAGCAGGAATGGAGGAGGAGTCAGAAATCACCAGTTCGGTTGTTATGCAGATGTACAAAAGGTGTCCCAGGTCATTTGATATGGCATCTAAAGCTCAGAGGAATGTTCACAGCTGGGGATGTAATTCTGGGTGTCACCTGCAGAGAGGTGGAATTTGAAGTCATCATACTAGATGAGATGATGAGAGAAAAGAGAGAAAATACTCCCGGCCCGAGTGTTGCAGAACATGAATGTTTATAGCTAAGCCTGGGTGGAGGAGGAAGGTCCAGGAAAGGGGACAGAGAAGATAGAAGGAACGATGGAACCCTGGGTACAGAGAAATGGAAGGTGCTGCTTCATAATGTAACAGTACTTGTACTTTGAGTATCTAAGATTGATTGTAGACCAAGGCTTGCTTGCAGCCACAAAGGGACCTGTATTTACATAGCACTTAACAGTTTTAACAGCAACATGCATTCATTAGACAAGCCTTTAAATCAGAGAGGTGACAAATTAGGGCCTTTCAGAGCACAGTGTTCTAGAAAAAAAGAGCTGGGATTTGGAAAGACCTGGGTTTGTTTCAGCTCACACATTTTAGCTGGGTGAATTTGGGTAATTAATGTAGCTTAATCTGAGCCTCAACCTCCTGATCTGTACATTGGAAAGAATGGCCCCATTTCCTGCACAAGTTGGGTGTGTGGGAGGAGTTTGTGAAAGCTTTGTGACAATATTGTGAGTCATTACTTCTAAAACAGAATGTTGGTGAGGAAGGCGGATGCCCTCATACCTGGGCAGGCACCACTTGCAACTATTAAAAAGTGAGGCTGGCAACTGACCACCACTTGGTACGACTCTTCTAAATAACAGACCACAGTTACGATTTTAAACAATGTGGCCTGTTAATGAATCTCAATCTAATGGTGTATTTCAGCTTTGATGAATCCAAGTTCCTGTTTCGCCAAATCCTGGGCATCACATTCAGATGTGAACTGATTTCTCTAGTGAGAGTGGGTAAGGTGGAGGGCAGGGTGTTCTGAGGCCATCTCAGATCAGCAGTTTCCTTCCCATGCTAAGCCTTTCTGTTCCATCAAGGAATGTGGGGACTGGGGCCAGCAGGGAAGCTCCCAGTCCTAGCTCTGCTGCAGTTCTTAGGGAGCCTGGACAACCGAGGTGTCCCTGGGACTGTTCTTAGATTTGGGTTTGGCAGGTCTGGGGCAATGCCTGGGACTCTTCCACAAGCTCCCTTAGAAGGCTGTTAGGCTGGCAGGGTATGGGAACCCAGACATCGCACAAACCACAAGGTGTGATTAGCAGGCCACGGCCAAAGGGAACACAGAGGGGAATCTCAGCCCCCAGAGAATCTTAACCCAAGAGGAAAGAGACAAAATATGTGACAGCTTCAGGTTGGGGCCCGTGGGGGGCTCTGTGTAGCTTCCCCATCAGATTGCTTGCAGGCCCCAACCCCACCTCCAGGGCTCGGGCAGCCTCTTGCCCGATGTGTGGCCCACTGGGCTGCCCAGTCCTTGGCCACTCCTGAATGGACGCAGTGTTGGATTTGTGCAGGCACAGACCACCACTTCCCACTCGGAGCATGTTTCAGAGGTTTCTTTTCCTACTAGCACAGCACCTTAAATGGATCTTTTCCCTTTGTGCCTATGGCCCTTGCAGACGTGTCTTCTTGGAATCCCTTCCTCAGCTATTACATATATTACCCCCATTGACTTTGCACTTGAGGAAGGAAGGGACTAAAAGATAACATCGTGACACTAAACCCAATATACTTGGTAACTGTGAAAGAAAATAACCATACGGGTGAGAGTACAAGGCAGAACTCCACTGGGCACCCTCCGTCTGCACAAGGCCTTTTATTCTGGTGTGTATGCTCTATCCTGCCTTTGCATGATTTTGGGTCCACTTTAAGGCTTATATCTATGCTTTGTGCAACATCTAATTTTTTTGTGTTGGACCAACAGTGCAAAAGCAACTTTTTTCCTCCACAGGGTAGTGACCTGCTTAACAGGAGTTGCGAGCACACATGTTCAGACACCTGGAGAGCTTAACGGGCCAGTTTCACACGGGTGCTAGGTCAAGAATTCATTTCTAGACTTACTGCTCCAATAACTAAATTCAAGCAACACTCAGAACTTTCTCTGAACGCTATACTTGTGAATATTCACTTTTGGCATGGGGTCTAAACTTTAGGCTCTAAAGAAAACATACAATTAATCATTCACAACAGAGCAAAACGTTCACACTTTTTAAAAAGAAGACGATGTTTCAAACATACAATCCCAGATTGGGTGTTTTTTGGTATTAATCTTTATAAAAAGGAAGTTTGCGACCCTGGTGCGAGGCTCGGAGGGTGTTTCTACAGACGGTGCAAGTGAGGCAGCTGGATATTTGTGCGGGATCTCTTTGCAAATGAAGATCAAAGTCCAAAAGAAAAAAACAATTTCACTTTATTTTAAAGACAATGATTGGCATACAGAAGGTATGCACTCGCATAAAATAAACTTTCATGAAAAGCATTAAAATCCATTATAAATTAATTTATTAAATAGGTATTTGGTATATGTGATGGTTTTATTAGATATTACTCTTATTTATTGCCA